TTGAAATCGTAGCCGTTGCAGATGTGGGGGGGAGGGGGGTATCAGGTGTTGGTGACCACCACCGGCTCGTTCTTCACCAAGTATAGCCGTGTGTAATTACTTCAGATGACAGGAAAACAGGTTCGTTACCACTGCTATGATGAGGGGTTAGGTCCTGCGTTGGCTTACGTAACAGGTAAGTAGACTAAACATGGGACGTCTCAGGACGTTAGTCCGTCTCCTTCTATTCTTCTCGTTGGTTGGCAGGTGACCCTCTCTGTCATTCCAAGAGTAGTGTTGGGAGCTGTGAGTCGAGTGATTTATTGTTTGACCGGAGCCCCACATGTCACCTTTCGGGGGGGGGGGAAGAGGGAGGGGAAGGGATAGTGAGAGCTAGACTGACCCTACCTTAACAAGCAGCCGGCAATCAAACTATCACTTTCGGGGAGGGGGAAAAAGGGGGGAGGGGGAATAGCGGGAGCTGGACTTACCCTACCTTAACAAGTAGCCGGCAATGAAACTATTGTTACTATACACTCCCTCGCTACTCCTATCTATTGAACTTTTCCCTCACAACAAGATACTTCCATAATGCACCTTTATGTTGAGTGATCATGGTAATTAAGTCCCTTTGTAACCGCTGCATTATAGCCTTTGTGGACTGACTCGTTTGATGGTGACTTCTACATTCTGTTTGATAATTTTTCATGCAGTCTCTAATTTCCCTGGTTGGTTTATATTGTTGATAAATCTTTGATGAATTTAAATGACAAGTTGCATGTGGCCTCCATAAACATGCATACCCCGGCTGGGATTGAACCCGCGGTCAGAGAGTCTCAAAACTCCAGCCCGTCGCCTCCATGATGTGTTCGTGGAGGGAGCTAATTGTTTTGTTCTGAAGTGAAACAATATTATCATTACATAGTTCTTGAAGGGGTCAAATCCTAGAGCTTTTAGGTTGAGTTTCGGAGGAGTGGATGTACTAAATGGCGATATCTGTACTTACCTGGTTCTTATGTTTCGCCACTCTTCCCAGTGGGGTAATAGAGGCTAGGACCTTGGGTAGCTTTAAGAAGAGACTGGACAAGTATATGAGTGGGAGCGGCTGGGTTTGATTGGTGTCATGGGGTACGGGAGTTATTTCTTGGGTAGCTTTAGGTAGAGGTCGTTTTGATAAGGACCTGCCTCGTATGGGCCAGTAGGCCTTCTGCAGGGTTCCTACATTCTTATGTTCTTATGTTCTTATTATAACAGGGTTGTGGTCTGATCTTACGTTTCCACCAGGGGAGACCCTGCAGTGGTATAGGTCACAAGCTCTGTTGGTCTAGACTATGTCAGATGTCCCTGGAAGAGGTCCTGCATATGACTTAAAGAATGGTCCTTGGAATGATAGATTTCTTGCTGCCATTATATGAAATAATTGTTTCCCCTGATCGACACCATGCCCAGCCCTTCTAGGGCAGGGTAGGTGCCTAAGCCAGAGCTTGCAGCTCAAAAGACTGCCATTCCCATTAGCCCCCTTGGGGCGGGGATGACAGACCAGAGAGGCCTAGCTTCTCCCTACGAGCTCCATGAGGGTGGGGAATGTGGCCAGGCCTGGGGACAGTTGGCCCCAGCGATGAGGGGGTACTTGTACCTCCTCCCATGGAAGACTTGGGTCTCAGACACTCCATAGACAGGGAGCCAAGGCCGGACCACCCCTTGGAAAAGGCCCGGACCGGGAGAATATCGTCGAATCAACAAGGACATGTTTCCCTTCAGGTCACCAGCGGGTGTCCAGCGCCGCAGTTGAAGAGTGCGGGGTGATGGCCTTTAAAATCTGCCAGGATTGTTGGAACATTTCTACTGAGGATCCGGTGAAAGGGAATGGACTCTATGGTTGTCTAAGGGTATCTTGGTACAGACCTGCAATCAACTTCGACAACTTCCACTAGTGAGAGCGGCTGGATTTGAGAGGGACCTGACCTCTCAACATCTGAGTTCTTACCTCTCCTAGTGGCCTACGTCTCACCTCTTGGCGCTATATAAGCTCCATCTTGTCACTTCATCTCCATATTGTTTCATACTATGGAACAATGCTCTTCTCCAGACTGAGGGACTGACCACCTCAAAACTTTAAGGGTGATGGACTGATTACATCGTCTTCAAGTATCTTCTGCTTCTATCAACTTTTCTGTACTCGACTGAAGAAGCCTACTGTGTAGGCGAAACGTTTCATAATAAAGATACCTAACTGTTGCATATGTGTCTTACCTAACAAGCTCTCCCTGCTCGACTCATCAAAGGGAGGATTGTTGCTCTGCGTGGTTTGCTGTGTACGACCTGCATTTCCTCTTCACTGACGCTTTAGAGTCATCATCTGACAACAGAGGCATGTTATTCCCTGTTTCAGGTGGCATATTCACAACCTTTACTGTAGGAGACGGTGGAGCCGCAATGTGGAAGTGTGGAAGTCCATTTGGAGTCGCCTCGAAAACTACCTGTACTGTTGGTTCACCCTCAATATCGGCAAATTGTGCATCAATGTCTGACACAAGTGCAGGGAAAGATATTAACTCATTGGTCTGAGTTGTATTTTCAACTGGATCTTCCAGTTGAGCTTTATCCCTCAAACAGCTAAGCCTTGTTTGAGGGATAAAGTTTGAGTATGTGTAGTGGAGGAGGGCACATACTTCCTGCCCTGAGGGGGCTGGTTCATTGCTAAGTGCACATTGTCTGGGATGATTAAAGGTCTGACCCCATTAGCTATTAACAAATCATTTAAAACATCGGAGCAGAGTTTAACATTGCTACCTGCGATCTCCTTGGCCAACATGAACATCAGTGTATCTCTCATAACATCTATCTCTGAGTACCCAAGAGACATAGGGATTGATGTTAGTCCTTGTTCTTGGTGTATATTAGGATTATAGTTAGGATGAGGCGCTGCAGGAGGGGCAGAAGTCCAAACATTGGAACTGGTAGAGGTGGCAGGAGTCCCACCGGTTCCAGGTAGATTAGGGAACGAAGCCTGGGACATTGTTGGAGGTGCTTGGGGAGTGGTTTCCTTAGTGGTTGACTGTTTCTTAGCATCCAGAATTTTCTGAAATGTAGATTTTCAAACAGGGCAGCTAGGGGAAACAGCGTGATGTTTCCCATTACAAAGGGCACACTTGGGTTTGGTTCTGTTATGGCAGTCCCTAGAAACATGTTGTTTGGCTGCTACATTTATTTGTGTTATGGCCAAACTCATAACACTTAAAACATTGTGACACTGACAAACCTTTCAATGGAGATTTGGTCCGGTGTACATCTGGTGCCAAAACATTTCATTCCATTTTGACATAGGAATTTGCCTTCTTCCGGTGTCTCTAGGATTAACTTCAATGTTTGCTGTCTGCTGGAAGGTTTAGTGAATTTATACGCCATGAAAAAACTTAAATTCAGAATTCTCCTGATTAAGTTCTTCAATAAGTTCCTCCGCGAACAAGTTCTCATGAAACTGGTTATTGTTGCTACAAAAACAGTTCGTTGTGCTTAGTAGTTGTCAGGTTGTATGGGGACGATACCCAGACTATGTAATTTATCAAGAACATCATTCTTGAGCAATTGGAGTAACTCCCCTTCAGAGGAGAGAAGTACTGTACCTGTGTTTGAAAACATCCACTGGTGCAACAGTGGAATTTGTACAAATACGTTCAAGTATTTCTTTCTTAGACTTTAGATTGTTACACGTATTCTTACGCATATTTTCGTCATTATGCCCAGGAAGGTACATCTGACACATGAAGGTTGCTTTAAAAAGAAAAAAACTTTCCTTTGTGTCAGTCCTACATATCCTAAGTCAGCTGACTTACGAAGGTCAGCCCCTAAGATAGCCTACCCTCGAGGAGTGAGGGGAAATGGGCCCAAGGCAAAGATCGGCCGGATTTTAAAAAACCACACGGGCTACCGGATGGTCAAAATGCCTTGTTTTTAATCGCCAAAAGGGAAGTTGGCGAGAAAGAAGAGGACAGGAAAGGCAGAAGGATAGCAGTGTAGGTAGTGTGTTTGTGTGTGGGCCAGAGTAAATGTTGGGGTGGGGTGAGGATGCGGTAGGATGTGATGGGGTGGAGAGGGGGAACAACAAGCTAGTCACCGCCTTACCCTCTTGAAAGGATGGGACTCGAAGTGACAGCAAGCAAGGTTTCCTCTCAGCTCTGATCAATGTATTACACAGGATAACCTAAAAAACATAACTTGGGTCTCAGTGCTCAGAGCAGAATCGTCGACGTCCTCTCTCTACTCCGTCAACTTGAAGACTCCTGTGTATCTCTGTGTCAGTGTGTATCGGTGGAATATGTGGAGTGGAGAAGTCTGACGTAATCATTCCTTCGGCCTCGAGTTAATGTGTTTAGTCTATCAATCTTAATAAAGTGCAGCATATTAGCTAGGTATAATGTTTGTTAGGAAACAGGACAAGTGTTTCCTGACGTGGATCTAAGTCATATAATGTTCCACAGCTGGAGCTTTCGGTCATCTGACCGAGGACTTCCGCTGGCTAACAAATTAACCTCCTTAAAAATCATAGTAAATGGTTATAACCCTTAATTTATATAGTGCAGCATATTAGCGGAGATGGGACTTATATGCTGGAGGCAGATGAGGTGAAGCAGTAGTAGGTGGAGTCACCAGTGGAAAAACCCACTTGTGGAAGTGAGTTGTGGCTGTGAGTACTAAGTGTACGTGTGTAGAGAGATGCATAAAAAAAACTGAAAGGTGTATTTTTGCGTATATGAGGAGCTCTTGTTCCAAGGCTCTGACATTTCCTTCCCATCACAGAAATAAATCTCATATCCTTCCATTCCTAGGCGTTGTATGGTATATTTTTCTAGCGAATCACAAAAATAATCCGAGGGGAGCTAAGCCTATGTGGATCATTCAGAACAAGTAACAGTGAAGGCTCGACACTCCGTTTGCAGATCGCTAGACAGGATACACAAACACAGTCTTCCCCATAAGATATATTAATTTCTGTGAATGTGTAAAATAAAATAGCGAAACAGGAATTAATATTTTATTTTTAAATTTTACAAAGAAATTTTTACAAGTGTAGATCAGAGGATGATTATGGTGATGATAGTGATGTTAGAGGTGAGGATGATGAGGCGATGGTGATGGTTAATAATGATAGTGATGACTGTAATAACGATGGCGATGATTGTAATAATGATGGTGATGATTGTAATAATGATGATGATTGTAATAACGATGGTGATGACCGTAATAATGGTGACTGTAAAAACGGTGATGATGATTGTAAATGGTTGTGATGATGGTAAAAATGATGGGAGATGATTTAAATGATATAAGTGATGAGGCTTCTGATGATAATGGAAGCAATGACAGACGTGATAATGATAATAGGGGTGAAAATGACAGAAGTAATAGTGATAATCAAGGTGATAGATTTCTTTCACAACGAAGAGAAACACACACACACACACACCTCAGCCATCACACGTTCTTACACATTTTTACACAAAACTTAATAATATACACAATAAACAATAATGTCTTTTAAAATTACAGATTCAATAAACTTATAAACAAAATTATGAACAATATCAATGGAAGGGATATTTGTGGTGTGTTCGTACGTGTGTTTCATATTAACCAAAAATATATTTACAATGTTATTACGTTATATTTCAAAGTTTAAATTATTTTTTTTAGGAAGTTTTGAGAAAATTTAATAAATCTTTGTGTGTGTGTGTGTGTGTGTGTGTGTGTGTGTGTGTGTGTGTGTGTGTGTGTGTGTGTGTGTGTGTGTGTGTGTGTGTGTGTGTGTGTGTGTGCGTGTGTGTGTGTGTGTGTGTGTGTGTGTGTGTGTGTGTGTGTGTGTGTGTGCGAGATAAATGAACCAGCACGAGACTATAATTAGTAACCTATCCTTTAAACATAGTCTAATTAAATAGTTATATCCACTCTCTGAATCTTGAAATATTTTCTGGCAACACATGAATAAAAAATAGCTGAGTTAAACACATGCTGGGTCTGTTATATATCACTTCAGTTATAAACCACGGGCGGGGCTTGAACCCGCGATCACAGTCACAAAACACCGTTTGCAATCGTGTCTTTACGTGAGTCACCTCAGTTATATGTTGACAAATTCTACATATACCAGCACATACTAAAGACATATAACATGTTGTTATAAGCGCCTCAGATCAATGAAATATACTCAGCAAGTTTTTCTTCAGTTATACCTGAAACCATTGTTATACCTGATATATTCCAGAGATGTATCGGATGTGATAATTTATATATCCACAGATGTGGATGTGGATGTCTTACTTATTTTGCAGATGTGGATGTAAGAAACTGTGTGGATGTTCTGCAGATTCGGATGCGGATGCATATGTGGATATCTGTACACAGTAAAATGCGGACGCGGATGCGGATGTAAGAAATTGTGCGGATGTTTCGCGGATGCGGATATCCAGTCACTGGAAATACGACAGAAATTCACGTTCAGAAAGATGATGTTACGACAGCATTTTCTGGCAGTGTTAAGGACTGTACTTAAACACATAAAATATTAAGTATTTTGTTTGTGACTTTCTGAAAGTTTCGTAAGTTAAATATGAATTCAGAAAGTTTATGTATTTTCGAGAGTTTGAGAACATCAAAGTTCTGTAATATTATGGCAGTGAAAAAAATTAAGTCTTCCTGACAGAAGGTCACAGCAGAAAAAACTCGTCACTAGCACTCCATTATCATGAACAAAAGTGACAATAGTGAGGAACAATACACAAATAACCCGCAGAAATGAGAGAGGAGCTTATTACGACGTTTCGATATTACTTGGCCTATTTTCAAAATATCTACAACGAAACATAAACAATACAGGGGTCAATGCATCTGTATTTGGAATCCCCAAGAATCTATGTTTGGGAGGATAGTGTTGAGTTATTCGTCGGAAAATAACAGCGTCTCCTGACACGGTCTTAATCAGTTAATAACTTGTTTGGTGTAAAAAATTCTGCTGACTTATCTGTTAATAAAATAAAGGATCTCTGAAGATAATTAAAATATAAGCATTGGATATAATCTTAACCAAAAATTTTGAAGGGGTGGAGTGGTAAGCCAGTGGAAGACCTCGGGCAGATGACCAAAACCTTTAGTGAAATGCTTGACCATTGAAATACTTGTCTTGTTTCCTGAGAAACATTACCTAACTTGACCGAAAAAGTTTTTATACTCTCTCCGAAATACAAAATCTTGTTTTCTAAATACGAAAACACATCAAGTCTTGATAACTGAAACACTGGTACAACATTTTCGTACCTTTATTCTGGACACGTTTCGCCAGGCAATTGATTCTTTAGTCCAGTGATGAGAAAATGGAAGATGAGGAGGAGATTGTTACTTAAATCTTGTACAAGTGTCTCATATATCACCTTCACATACTAAGTCTTACTTAAAATAAGTCTAAGCATCTGTTATGGAACGTAACACAGTCGTCTCCCATAAGTAATGAATCATCTCAGATTTTCTCTGACCATGAGATTCAGACTCCAGTGGAATGTTTGAAGGTGTCTTCTCGGCTGATCTCTGAGAGGCTTTGCTTGGAGGTTGCCCGGGCCGGGAGAGTCTTCTCGCTGTTAGTGAGGGCATCGTTGAGGTACTGGGCTTCCTCCTCATCGTAGTGGTCGAGAGGGGGAGCCGTGGCATCGTTCGACCCCCATTTGCGGCGGTGGCGCAGGCTGTTACGGCGGCTTGCGGTCCTCTCCTCACATACCTGGAGGCAAGAATTGCGGATTAGAACATAAGAAAAAAGGGACACTGCATCAGGCCTACTGACCCAAGCGACGTAAGTCCAAATCACCCACTGGCCCAAGGGTAGTCAGGACAGGTCACACCAACAGGACAGGTCACACCAACTTACGGAAGAAGAACGACACTGTACTAAGAAAGGCGAGAGGACATGATAAATATACCCATATATATTCTTATTTCCAGGGCATGTAATCATAATCCAACTTTAAGTAATAAGTGTCTACTTATTTGTTCTCTTTGTAACTCCTAAATTTATAATAATAATAATTATTATTATTTACTACCAGTACATGTACAAGGTGCACAGACCATAGCTGACATCACTGACATACTACTATATAATAAGTCCCTTGTTATGCTGAGCCTTTCCCGCAAATTAGGTCAGTTTTGTTCCAGGATGTGACCCACACCAGTCCACTAACACCCAGGGTGTGACCCACACCAGTTCACTAACGCCCAGGATGTGACCCACACCAGTCTACTAACGCCCAGGAAGTGACCCACATCAGTCTACTAACGCCCAGGATGTGACCCACACCAGTTCACTAACGCCCAAGATGTGACCCACACCAGTCTACTAACGCCCAGGATGTGACCCACACCAGTCCACTAACACCCAGGATGTGACCCACACCAGTCCACTAACGCCCAGGATGTGACCCACACCAGTTCACTAACACCCAGGATGTGACCCACACCAGTCCACTAACGCCCAAGATGTGACCCACACCAGTCCACTAACGCCCTGGATGTGACCCACACCAGTCCACTAACACTCAGGATGTGACCCACACCAGTCCACTAATGCCCAGGATGTGACCCACACCAGTCCACTAACACCCAGGATGCCACCCACACCAGTCCACTAACACCCAGGATGTGACCCACACCAGTCCACTAACACCCAGGATGCCACCCACACCAGTCCACTAACACCCAGGTACCCATTTTAAACTGATGGGTGAACAGGGACAGCAGGTGTCTTATGGAAACACATCCCTAATGTTTTCCAGCAGTACCGGAGGAGATTCGAACCCCGGACCTCAGCGTGTGAGCTGAGTGTGCTAGCGATCGAGCTACGGGACACCACACACCATGAACCCTTAAAGTTCTTATATAAGTCATTAACAAGTTATTACCCTTTGGATTAAGACATGGCTCAGTTCTACACTCCTCTCTAGCTCTAAACGTCGCATATCCCTTCCTTCCCGCTCACCCCACCGGAGTCCCAACAGAAGAGCCTGAATTTCTCTTCTCAATATCTGTCCCACGATCGCCTCGCTGCTGGGTTAAGCCCTGGCTCTATTTCTACGACTAAGAACACTCCTCTCCAGCACTGTTCTACGTCTGTCCCGTCTTCCCCGCTCATCCCATTTGGGATCTTACCTGAACTTTCGTTCGTTCGTATTGCCACTGTAGTCGTAAGTCCGGCTAAAGTTTGCCATAAATGTTCTGCATAACTACTGGATTTTTGCATTTACAACTAAATGTCACCCAACTCTATATAAACATTATATAATGCTCAAATTATCACTATTATAAGGCGAATATTTCTTGAATTCAAACTGATACAGGCAAAAAAAATATGTACTGTAAGTAAGGTTTGGTGCATTGGCTTAAGCCGGTAGGAGACTTGGACCTGCCTCGCATGTGCCAGTAGGCCTTCTGCAGTGTTCCTTCCTTCTTATGTTCTTATGTTCTTATATACTGAGATGAGGATTTTAATGGTAATTGGATGGTTAAAAATTAGCAATGTTTAAGAAAATCTTCAGTAAGACCTTACCAGGGTAATAATAACATAACATAAGAAAGAAGGAACACTGCAACAGGCCTACTGACCAATGCGGAGCAGGTCCATGTCCCCCCCCCGGATTAGCCCAATGAACCCCCCCCCCGGATTAGCCCAATGACCCCCCTGGATTAGCTCAATGACCCCCCCTGGATTAGCCCAATGACCCACCCAGTTTGGTCACCTCCACTCAAGGATGGAGCACGGCACCAGACCCAGCAGCACAAGCTAGTCAGGTCCAACTCACACCCACCCAGACCCACTCATGTATTTATCTAACCTATTTTTAAAACTACACAAAGTTTTAGCCTCAATAACTGTACTCGGGAGTTTGTTCCACTCATCCACAACTCTATTACCAAACCAGTGCTTTCCTATATCCTTCCTGAATCTGAATTATTCCAACTTAAAACCATTGCTGCGAGTCCTGTCTTGGATGGAAATTTTCAGCACACTATTTACATCCCCTTTATTTATTCCTGTCATCCATTTATACACCTCGATCATATCCCCCCTAATTCTACGTCTTTCTAGAGAGTGCAGATTCAGGGCCTCAGTCTATCCTCATAGGGAAGATTTCTGATACATGGGATCATCTCTGTCATCCTCCTCTGTACGTTTTCCAGAGCATTTATATCCATTCTGTAATACGGTGACCAGAACTGTGCAGCATAGTCTAAATGAGGCCTAACCAAGGATATATAGAGTTGAAGAACAACCTGAGGACTTCTATTATTTATACTTCTAGATATGAAGCCAAGAATTCTGTTAGCTTTATTGCGAACACTAATGCACTGTTATCTTGGTTTTAGATTACTGCTAACCAGAACTCCTAAATCCTTTTCGCAATCAGTAGTACTAAGATCTACATTATTTAGTTTATATGTGGCATGGTTATTTAACTGTCCAACATTTAGAACTTTGCATTTGTCTATATTAAACTGCATCTGCCACTTCTCCGACCATTGCGCCAGTCTATTCAAGTCATCCTGGAGTGCTCTAATGTCCTCATTAGAATGAATTGGACGGCCTATTTTGGTGTCATCGGCAAATTTGCTTATGTCGCTATTTATTCCCTCATCTATGTCGTTTATGTAAATTGTGAACAACAACGGGCCCAACACTGACCCCTGAGGAACACCACTTGTGACGTGCCCCCATTCTGATTTCTCCCCATTTATGCAAACTCTCTGCTGCCTATTTGTCAACCATCCCTCTACATCTTTATTTACTACCAGTACATGTACAAGGTATACCAGTACATGTACAAGGTATACCAGTACATGTACAAGGTATACAGACCATAGCTGACATCAGTGACATACTACTATATAGAAAGTCCCTTGTTATCCTGAGCATTTCCCGCAAATTAGGTCAGTTTTGTTCCAGGATGTGACCCACACCAGTCTACTAACACCCAGAATGTGACCCACACCAGTCTACTAACACCCAGGATGTGACCCACACCAGTCTACTAACACCCAGGATGTGACTCACACCAGTCTACTAACACCCAGGATGTGACCCACACCAGTCTACTAACACCCAGGATGTGACCCACACCAGTCTACTAACACCCAGGATGTGACCCACACCAGTCTACTAACACCCAGTATGTGACTCACACCAGTCCACTAACACCCAGGATGACCCACACCAGTATACTAACACGTAGGATGTGACCCACACCAGTCTACTAACACCCAGGATGTGACCCACACCAGTCTACTAACACCTAGGGTGTGACCCACACCAGTCTACTAACACCCAGGACGTGACCCACATCAGTCTACTAACACCCAGGATGTGACCCACACCAGTCTACTAACACCCAGGATGTGACCCACACCAGTCTACTAACACCCAGGATGTGACCCACACCAGTCTACTAACACCCAGGACGTGACCCACATCAGTCTACTAACACCCAGGATGTGACCCACATCAGTCTACTAACACCCAGGATGCGACCCACATCAGTCTACTAACACCCAGGATGCGACCCACATCAGTCTACTAACACCCAGGATGCGACCCACATCAGTCTACTAACACCCAGGTACCCATTTTACTGATGGTGAACATAGACAACAGGTGTAAAGAAACACGCCCAGTGTTTCTACTCTGGCTGGGAATCGAACCCGGACCCTCGCCGTGTGAAACTAGAGTGTTAGCCACCAGGCTAACACTTCCAATTCTTATTTTCCCTTCATTATTTTCTCTTCTTCCTTCCTTTCCACACTATTCGTCTCCTTCGTCCCTTTCTCCTGCTTATACCCTCTTGCAAACAGAATTGTCCACCAATACAATGATAAAAATAATATACCAACTTAACCAATTTTCGTCTCCCTTCTCTACAGTCCTTTCGTTTTCCGTTGCTCATTTGTTTATCAAATCATCGCTCTATCCCTCTCCTCCCTCTTTCAATAATACTTGTACAATCCATACCACGGGTGGGGTTTGAACCCGCCCTCAGAGTCTCAAAACTCCAGACCGTCGTGTTAGCCACTGGGCCACTGGAGTTTTGAGACTCTCTGACCGCGGGTTCAAACCCCCACCCGTGGTATGGTTTGTTTGCAATCGTGTCTTTACGATTTCGTGAGTCAGTAATGGTATACAATACCCACAATATGAACTCACTGAATGGAGAAACATCTACAAAAATTTGACACATGTGCAACATTTGGGTATCTTTGAAGACGTTTTGGCCATCCAGTGACTTTTTCAGTACAGTACAAACTTTTCGTGTTTAATTCGTCACACGAACACGTGAAAAAAACAACGTGGAAACTGGTGCTACATCTCGCACAACGTGGAAACTGGTGCTACATCTCGCACAACGTGGAAACTGGTGCTACATCTCGCACAACGTGGAAACTGGTGCTACATCTCGCACAACGTGGAAACTGGTGCTACATCTCGCACAACGTGGAAACTGGTGCTACATCTCGCACAACGTGGAAACTGGTGCTACATCTCGCACAACGTGGAAACTGGTGCTACATCTCGCACAACGTGGAAACTGGTGCTACATCTCGCACAACGTGGAAACTGGTGCTACATCTCGCACAACGTGGAAACTGGTGCTACATCTCGCACAACGTGGAAACTGGTGCTACATCTCGCACAACGTGGAAACTGGTGCTACATCTCGCACAACGTGGAAACTGGTGCTACATCTCGCACAACGTGGAAACTGGTGCTACATCTCGCACAACGTGGAAACTGGTGCTACATCTCGCACAACGTGGAAACTGGTGCTACATCTCGCACAACGTGGAAACTGGTGCTACATCTCGCACAACGTGGAAACTGGTGCTACATCTCGCACAACGTGGAAACTGGTGCCTTACACATCCTCGCACAACGTGGAAACTGGTGCTACATCTCGCACAACGTGGAAACTGGTGCTACATCTCGCACAACGTGGAAACTGGTGCTACATCTCGCACAAGTGTTATCTGTAGATTTTTAAAAAAATGGTTATAACTATGGCCATAATTTTTAAAGTGGTGGAGGGATAAGCCAGCGGAAGGCCTCGGTCATATGACCAAAAGCTCCAACGGCGAGTCATCATCTAAGACCCGTGTCAGGAAACACTTATCCTGTTTCCTGACAATCCTTACATACCTGCAGATATTTCTTATTAAAATACAGTGGCTCTATGGTACAACTTTGGGCCTGCATTTTACAGGACCTCGGTTCTAACTATTGCTCATTTTTCTATTTATTCATTGACAGTTGTCAACCACCACTTTAAATGGATTATTTAGAACAAAACAGTGAAGCACTGTAGTATGTCTACTGGCCATGCTAGGCAGGTTCAACTTACACCCACCTACACATACTCAAGTACCTGCCTAACATATAAGAACATAAGAACATAAGAATGTAGGAACACTGCAGAAGGCCTACTGGCCCATACGAGGCAGGTCCTTATCAAAACGACATCTACCTAAAGCTACTCAAGAAATAACTCCCGTACCCATTCATCTACAAACCTGTCAGACACTGCAACTTCTTGGGATCTTAATACTTGGGAATTCTTCGCTTGCCTAATTCTTGGGCACGACCTACTTCCACATTGAACAAATGTTACACGACCTATGACTTCTGCACCTCTCCTGCCAACGGTTTATAAGCTCCTTCTCAGCACGTATGCCGTATTCTATTCAAGATTGATGGACTGACCACATCGACTCAAGGTTGAGGGACTGATTACCTCATTCTCCTCCTGTTCTTCAAGATTCTCGTTTGTATGGACTGATGAAGCCACTGTGTGGCGAAACGTTTCCTCAATAAAGATACCCAAGAGTTGCACATGTGTTTAATTTATCAACTCCCGTACCCCTTGACACCAATCAAACCCAGCCCCTCCCACTCATACACTTATAAGAGTACACTTCACACACTATATTTGAAACTTTTCAAAATTCTCGCTTCAGTGACACTAGTTGGGAGTTTATTCCACTAATCAACAACTGTATTACCAAATGAACGCTTCCATACATGTTATCTAACATGACACAACATTGTAATAAAGTTGGTAGAATTACCGACAATATGTAAAGTAAAAGGACACAAGTGCAACTATGTGACATTTTATTGGAGAGCGAAACGTTGCCACAATAAAATGCCACATTAGTTGCACTTGTGTCCTTTTACTTTACATGATACAACATCATAGCATCGTTGCGAGTGATGTTTAGGTCACCTTGTAAGTGAAATCATATATATAATATATATATATATATATAATATAATATATATATATATATATAATAATTATATATATATATATAATATATATATATATATATATATATATATATATATATATATATATAATATATATATATATATATATTATATTATATATATATATATATATATATTATTATTATTATTATTATTATCACACTGGCCGATTCCCACCAAGGCAGGGTGGCCCGAAAAAGAAAAACTTTCACCATCATTCACTCCATCACTGTCTTGCCAGAAGGGTGCTTTACACTACAGTTTTTAAACTGCAACATTAACACCCCTCCTTCAGAGTGCAGGCACTGTACTTCCCATCTCCAGGACTCAAGTCCGGCCTGCCGGTTTCCCTGAATCCCTTCATAAATGTTACTTTGCTCACACTCCAACAGCACGTCAAGTATTAAAAACCCTTTGTCTCCATTCACTCCTATCAAACACGCTCACGCATGCCTGCTGGAAGTCCAAGCCCCTCGCACACAAAACCTCCTTTACCCCCTCCCTCCAACCTTTCCTAGGCCGACCCCTACCCCGCCTTCCTTCCACTACAGACTGATACACTCTTGAAGTCATTCTGTTTCGCTCCATTCTCTCTACATGTCCGAACCACCTCAACAACCCTTCCTCAGCCTTCTGGACAACAGTTTTGGTAATCCCGCACCTCCTCCTAACTTCCAAACTACGAATTCTCTGCATTATATTCACACCACACATTGCCCTCAGACATGACATCTCCACTGCCTCCAGCCTTCTCCTCGCTGCAACATTCATCACCCATGCTTCACACCCATATAAGAGCGTTGGTAAAACTATACTCTCATACATTCCCCTCTTTGCCTCCAAGGACAAAGTTCTTTGTCTCCACAGACTCCTAAGTACACCACTCACATTTTTCCCCTCATCAATTCTATGATTCACCTCATCCATCATAGACCCATCCGCTGACACGTCCACTCCCAAATATCTGAATACATTCACCTCCTCCATACTCTCTCCCTCCAATCTGATATCCAATCTTTCATCACCTAATATTTTTGTTATCCTCATAACCTTACTCTTTCCTGTATTCACTTTTAATTTTCTTCTTTTGCACACCCTACCAAATTCATCCACCAATCTCTGCAACTTCTCTTCAGAATCTCCCAAGAGCACGGTGTCATCAGCAAAGAGCAACTGTGACAACTCCCACTTTATGTTTGATTCTTTATCTTTTAACTCCACGCCTCTTGTCAAGACCCTCGCATTTACTTCTCTTACAACCCCATCTATAAATATATTAAACAACCACGGTGACATCACACATCCTTGTCTAAGGCCTACTTTTACTGGGAAATAATTTCCCTCTTTCCTACATACTCTAACTTGAGCCTCACTATCCTCGTAAAAACTCTTCACTGCTTTCAGTAACCTACCTCCTACACCATACACCTGCAACATCTGCCACATTGCCCCCCTATCCACCCTGTCATACGCCTTTTCCAAATCCATAAATGCCACAAAGACCTCTTTAGCCTTATCTAAATACTGTTCACTTATATGTTTCACTGTAAACACCTGGTCCACACACCCCCTACCTTTCCTTAAGCCTCCTTGTTCATCTGCTATCCTATTCTCCGTCTTACTCTTAATTCTTTCAATAATAACTCTACCATACACTTTACCAGGTATACTCAACAGACTTATCCCCCTATAATTTTTGCACTCTCTTTTGTCCCCTTTGCCTTTATACAAAGGAACTATGCATGCTCTCTGCCAATCCCTAGGTACCTTACCCTCTTCCATACATTTATTAAATAATTGCACCAACCACTCCAAAACTATATCCCCACCTGCTTTTAACATTTCTATCTTTATCCCATCAATCCCGGCTGCCTTACCCCCTTTCATTTTACCTACTGCCTCACGAACTTCCCCCACACTCACAACTGGCTCTTCCTCACTCCTACAAGATGTTATTCCTCCTTGCCCTATACACGAAATCACAGCTTCCCTATCTTCATCAACATTTAACAATTCCTCAAAATATTCCATCCATCTTCCCAATACCTCTAACTCTCCATTTAATAACTCTCCTCTCCTATTTTTAACTGACAAATCCATTTGTTCTCTAGGCCTCCTTAACTTGTTAATCTCACTCCAAAACTTTTTCTTATTTTCAACAAAATTTGTTGATAACATCTCACCCACTCTCTCATTTGCTCTCTTTTTACATTGCTTCACCACTCTCTTAACCTCTCTCTTTTTCTCCATATACTCTTCCCTCCTTGCATCACTTCTACTTTGTAAAAACTTCTCATATGCTAACTTTTTCTCCCTTACTACTCTCTTTACATCATCATTCCACCAATCGCTCCTCTTCCCTCCTGCACCCACTTTCCTGTAACCACAAACTTCTGCTGAACACTCTAACACTACATTTTTAAACCTACCCCATACCTCTTCGACCCCATTGCCTATGCTCTCATTAGCCCATCTATCCTCCAATAGCTGTTTATATCTTTCCCTAACTGCCTCCTCTTTACACACACACACACACACACACACACACACACACACACACACACACACACACACACCACACACACACACACACACACACCACACACACACACACACACACACACAATATATATATATAATATATATATATATATATATATATATATATATAATATATATATATATATATATATATATATATATATATATATTGCCGATTCAATACTTTCCTATATCCTTTCTAAGTCTCTATTAAATCTGCACCCATTGTTGTGATGGGTGTTTATGTCACCTTGTAAGTGAAGATGGCCCCGATGAAGCAGAAGAGGACCATGATGACCACTTGAGCTAGTGTAAGACCCTCACCAGCGTAGATAAACTGGTCTTCAAACCTGTGCTTCTCCCAGTTGATGTGGTCGTAACGACCTTGGCGGATCAGCCAGTTGGAGAGATAGTAGACATTGATGGCTACGACAGCAAAGGACTTCATCAGCCATATCCAGGTTAGCGATGGCTTGTGCTGGAAACAAAAGACTTTGATAGAGGAAGGAAAGTGAATATTGGCGAGTTAAGGTCGAGTTCTGAAATAGGATAAGAAAAGATTTGTTCGGATTTTTAACCCCGGAGGGTTAGCCACCCAGGATAATCGAAGGACATCAGTTCGTCATCGAGGACTGTGTCTTGTTTCCAGTGTGGTCCCTCAATCTTATCCCCCAGGATGCCACCCACACCAGTCCATTAACACCCAGGTGCCTACTTACTGCTAGGTGAACAGTTACCTACTGTATTCTTGCGTGTGTGTGTGCGTTCATACGTGCTAGCATAACGCATATGAACACGCAGGTGTGCATGTGTGGGTTCAATGGTATGCGGGAACTGTGTGCACCATCATGAACTGTGCACCATCATGAAGTGTGAGCACCATAATGAAGTGTGTGCACCATCATGAACTTGTGCACATATGACTGTGCCATCATGAAGTGTAGCACCATAATGAACTACATAAATATATATATATATATATATATATATAATATATATATATATATATATATATATATATATATATATATATATATATATATATATATATATATATATATATATATATATATATATATAAATATAATAGAACATATATACTCATCTATGATATATAAGATGATATATTATCAGACACTAAAATAATATAATATATATATATATATAATATAATCAGTAATAATATTTACAATTTACTCAAATATATATAAGTATTATAATCATTATATTTATATTAATCATATACTGAGCACAGTAGAACTCCACCCTGCTCAGGAGGTAGAGCTTTGAAATGTCCAGTCAACACTAAAAGCTCCATGTATTATAATATGACTAAGACCAAGTGTAAGGAAAAAATCCTGACCAATCTTACCTTCAAAATAAAAGTGATTTAATCTCTCTATATTTTATATCTTATAAACAATAGCTTAGGACGAGGCTTATTCCGTCAACATACGCGTCCTATATTTTATAGGCACCTAGTTGTATAGGCAAAATTGCTATAGGCTGTCTGCTCCCAACATCACAATATATAGATCTCCTTGTCCTACTATTTCCCTGCCCAAAGGGATTTAATCTCCTGTCTAGCTATTTCTCTGCCATAAGCGCTCCCAGAGGTCCTGATGTTGTGAGAATGATCTGATTAAGGGAATTGGATCGTGCTTCCAAGTCCCCAATTAACCTCATGCTTTCAAAATCCCCAGACTGTAAATCCTACGTTAGCGCTTCCCCTGATTATAATAATATCTGCCATAAGGAAGCATCTTTCCGTCATCATGACAAAGATCAGCAGTTGTCAACGAGAAAAAAGTATTAGTGATACCATGATTCACAGTCTGGCCTCAGTAGATAGATCACTTAGTGATACCCTGATTCACAAGCTCACCTCAGCAGGGTGTGAATCACCACTGAGAGAGCACCAGCAGCACTGGTTATAGCCTGATTCACTGGTTGCTTTCCCCAGTCATGCTCGTTGGAAATTCTACACGAGTTTCAGGCTAGGATATCAGAGGTTGTGCATTGATGGAAGTCACGTGAGTTTCTTAACGCTCAGAAATAAATGTAGTTGTTCATGGTTCAGTAAGTAATGGTTAGTATTAAGGTCATCATTAGTTATTATTAACTTTAGTAATATTACGATTTATTCCACCACCTCCATTTCCATCCTACCTCTCCCCCTTCCCCTTCTATCTCTACTCCACCACCTCCATGACATCCTTACTCTCCCCTTCCCCTTCTATCTCTACTCCCACCTCCATGACATCCTTACTCTCCTCTTCCCCTTCTATCTCTCTCCACCACCTCCATGACATCCTTACTCTCCCCTCCCCTTCTATCTCAACTCTACACACTCCATGACATCCTTACTCCCCTCCCCTTCTATCTCTGCTCCACCACCTCCATGACATCCTTACTCTCTCCCTCCCCTTCTATCTCAACTCTACCACCTCCATGACATCCTTACTCTTCCCTTCCCCTTCTATCTCTCTCCACCACCTCCATGACATCCTTACTATCCCTTCCCCTTCTATCTCTACTCCACCACCTCCATGACATCCTTCATCCCCCCTTTTATTCCCCATCCTCGAATACAAGACATATAATAACCTATCATACGTCAATCATTAATCAATTTCCTAAATTTATTAACAGTAATGAACTGCATATCATAAATCCAATTATTCCTCTCACCCACTGGCTATCCAGCTTCGGTATTCATACCTTACATACCATCCATCAGATGAATGAGTGCACAATAACTACCCCTACCATCCACAGATGGTATGAGGTCACAATAACTAGCCACTACCATCCACAGGATGGAAAGGTGCACAATAACTCCCCTTCCCCAGTATTAGGCCTACTAGCCACCACCATCCATGAATCCTTAACTATACCCTTCTCCCATTCTATCTCATACTCCACCACCTCCATGACATCCATCATCCACTACCTTTTATTCTCCTCAATCCCGAATACGAGAACAGTATAATACCTATCTGATACGTCAAAATATATTAATCAAATTTCCTAAATTTTATTGTAACAGATAAATGAACTGCATATATAAATCCAGATTTATTCCTTTCACCCGACTGGGGCCTAATTCCTAGGCCTTTCGTGTATTCATATGCCCTTACACTACCATCCACAGGATGGATATGAGGTACACAATAAACTAGCCACTACCATCCACAGGATGGATATGAGGTACACAATAAACTAGCCACTACCATCCACAGGATGGATATGAGGTACACAATAAACTAGCCACTACCATCCACAGGATGGATATGAGGTACACAATAAACTAGCCACTACCATCCACAGGATGGATATGAGGTACACAATAAACTAGCCACTACCATCCACAGGATGGATATGAGGTACACAATAAACTAGCCACTACCATCCACAGGATGGATATGAGGTACACAATAAACTAGCCCTACCATCCACAGGATGGATATGAGTGCACAATAAACTAGCCACTACCATCCACAGGATGGGTATGAGGTACACAATAAACTAGCCACTACCATCCACAGGATGGATATGAGATGCACAAGAAACTAGCCACTTCTGTGGTAAAATCTAACTCGTCCTCCGCGACACAAGGAGTTGCTCAGCGACCCAGACTTGACATCATAGCTCACAGAACCAAAAAAAGAAAAAAGATAGAATTCAAACAATCATTTTAAACAAACAGCGTACACATTTAAAACAGAAAGTGTATATGATATGAGCCCAGGAGGCCAAGATCAAGTTATGCCCGTCAGTGGAAGACACAGTTAGGTACACACCTGTGTATACACACACACACACACACACACACACACACACACACACACACACACATACACACATACACACTCACACACACACACACACAATTGGAAGTTGAAGACTCAGATGAATCAAAGGGATGTTAGGAAGTATTTCTTCAGTCATAGAGTAGTCAGGCCGTGGAATAGCCTAGAAAGTGACGTAGTGGAGGCAGGAACCATACGTAGTTTTAAGGCGAGGTATGATAAAGCTCATGGGGCAGGGAGAGAGAGGACCTAGTAGCAATCAGCGAAGAGGCGGAGCCAGGAGCTATGAATCGACCCCTGCAACCACAAATAGGTGAGTACAAATAGGTGAGTACACACACACACACACACAGGAGCTACGACTCGGGGCCAGTAGCTATGAATCCACCCCTGCAATCACAATTAGGTGATTAGACACACATACACACATGACGCAGTAATAGTGCTCCTAGGATTTAGTGTTCTAGCGGCTGTCCTAAGTTATTATTAGCGGTCATCGTACGTGACTGAATCAGTGAACATACCTACAGCTTTCTAGAGTGTGAATAATGTGATAAGATCAAGAATTTTACAATTTAAATTTGAATGCGGGTGTTACTGGAAGGTGAGTGAGGGAGGGCAGCCAGCTGGTCAGTGCTGGCAGCAGTGTTGACACAAATATTCAAAACAAATATATTTAATTGGTCAAGGTTATAGCAGCAGAGTAGTGATAAGGTCATAAACGAGTGATATAGTTAATAATGAAAGAAAATTAAATTTTAGTAAATCCCCAGCAGTTTGTGTGACTCCAGTTAATATCATCGATTTGTTATGACCATAATACTAAAAAAAATGATGTGAATACCAAGTTATTAACGTAAAGATAAAAACTTGAAGGCCTGATAAAAGCTACGAAGGGAGTTACAAACTGAAGGAGTTCACAGAAGCCACCACCAGGAGCCTCCATTGTTGTGCAGACAACTTGTCGCAGCGATATAGGTTGGTGTCTGAAGTCTCGTTGTGTCTGGCCCTTCTGGCTGTATGTTATAACATTACTCGCTAACTTTCAGTGGCAGGAGAAACATAGGGGTAACCCTGACTATATTTAGTAAGTTATCTAAAAATCTTCAGAAGAGTTGTGTAGCCTAGTGACCCCCCCCCCCTTTTTTTTTCTTAAAGAACACGTTAGTAAACACACGCGTGTACACCAGTAAGTATTATAGTAGTAAATATTAGTATATATGAATAAGGAATAGAATGAGAACTCAATTATCTTCAAAAGAGTAGCGTAGCTTAGCGTGTAAGTGACCCCCCCCCCTCCTATTTTTCTCGAAGAATAAGCTAGTAAATACGCACGCACATACAAACACACATGTACACCAGTAAGAATTACAGTACATATTAATAAGGAACAGAATGAGAAATATTTCTATAATCATCAAAAGAGTAGCGTAGCATGGCGTGATACAGTACCCTCCCCCCCCCTTTTTTCATAGAGTGAGACAAGCGCACACACACACACACACACACACACACACACACACACACACACACACACACACACACACACACACACACACACACACACACACACACACACACACACACACACACACAGGGGTCAGTCCTGGGACCAGTGATATTCTTGGTATATGTGAATGGCATGATGGAAGGGTTAGACTCAGAA